GGGGAGAGGAGGGGAGGTGAAAATAAGGTGACCAGGTGTCCCTTTTCCCCAGCTCAACTTTTCTCCTGAGCTCACACATTTCCTCTGTAGCATGACGGTGGCCAGCAGGACTGTGGCCTTGGGACGCTGCTGTACTGGCAGTTGGCCCTTGAGCTTGGGCTGACCCAGTATTGGAGGAAGGGGTCTCCCTGCCAAAGGGCCTGAGCTAGGCACAAGGAGGTCTGCGGGTGCTCACACAGTGAGAGTTGACCCGGGCTTTCCCCTCCGAATCGCTAGGATTCCATCAAAAAGTTTGAGCGGGAGCTGAAGCTTGAGCGGCACCAGAACCGCATAGAGGAGAAGCAGGTGATTCTCAAGCGGCAGCAGGAGGAGGTCAGCTATCTGATGCAAACCCAGGTAGGTGCAGACAGACAAGACAGTCACGTAGCAGACGGATCGTGTGGGGGAGGCATGGCTGGGAAATGAGGTCTTGGGACCTGGGTAGAGGGCAGGTGGCCTCCAGCATCCGTGACCTTAGGTAGGGAAGGTGCCTCCCCGGTGTACCCCAGAGTTAGTCTTGAGCAGTGGTTCTCCACCTTCCTCATGCTGCAACCCTTTCATACAGTTCCTCCTGTTCTGGTGACTCCCCAACTGTAAAATTATTTTCGTTGCTACTTCATAACTGTCATTTTGCTACTGTTATGAATCGGGCCACCCCTGTGAAAGGGTTGTTTGAACCCCAAAGGCGTTGCGACCCACAGGCTGAGAACCGTCGGTCTTGAGGCCTTGTGTTTTTGTCTTCCTCTGGACCTCTGTGATAACTCTCCCCTCGGTCCTGGGTCTTTGGGGTCAGGCAGTGTGTGCTGCAGGACCAGGCCACGGTTCACTGGGTGGATGAGGATGCTGAGGCTAAATCCAGCCCCAGAATGAGCGGAGATGGCCCCACATGGTCTGAGCCATGGCCCAGCCATGAGATGTGGTGGAGCGCCTTCTTGTTGCAGCCTTGGTGCTCCGAGCTGCCCTTGCCAATCCCTGGGCACCCTGTTGGGCCCTGACCCTGCGGCTCCTTCTTCCTCTGGCTGGTCCATTTCTCCTGGCACCTTCTCTGAACCGGAGACATCTGCCCTTCTGACAGTCTTGCCTGCGCCCTAGCTTTGTCCAAGGTGGGCTTGAGGTCATGCTGAGCCGGACTTGTGCTCTGTGCCACCTGCCCCGTGGACAGTGATGGCACGCCCCCACCATGGTGTCAGCCTGGGAGGACCAATAATGAATCTGTGCCTGAGTTTAGGCCTCATCCGGGGGACTACGGAGGTCTCTGTGCAGTTTGAGGTTCTCCTCCTCCTCCTTCTCCCCCTCCTCCTCCTCCTCATTGCTGTCACCTTATGCTTTTCTCTCCAGCAAAATATTAACTACAAAAGCTTCAGTGATCTGGTGGAGAGCTTCAAAAAGACCCTGAATCACACAGACCCCATAGTCTTGGATGATTTTGGCACGAGCCTACCCTTCATCAGCATCTACTTGTCCACGCTGGATAACCAGGACACCACTATCCACAAGTCAGTCCCATCTCTGCCACCCCTGGTCCCAGGAGACCAGACTTTTCCTGGTCGGTGGAGGCCCTGTTAGGTGTCTTCAGAGAGCAAGAGGGGAGTTAGCTGATGAGCACAGAGGGTGGGATGGAGCCCATATATCAGTGGAGCAGGCAGCTGTGGGGACACACGGTGGCTGCTGGCATTCTACTCTTGCTGCCCCTCCTCTGGTCCCTTGGCCCATGTCTAAATGTGTTCTCCTGGCCTTCCCGGGCCTGGAGCAAAGGGGAGGGCCTTGCCTGACAAACCTGGAGCCTAGGTGCCTGGACCAGTCCTGTCCCCACTTCCGGTATGACCTGGGGCACATCTCTGTGCCCTCCTCCACCACCTGCAGGTTTTCTGAGCTGCTTCCATGAGCTGCATCTATAGATGTACGGATAGCTCAGCAGCGCTGAGCCTGGCTGCGCAGGGCCTGTGGACCTGTGCTCCGGGCAAGTGAGCTGCGGGTCTAGCGGGCCCTTGTGGAGCCCAGAGGCTGTGGGAACCCGGCCGAAGGATGGTGGGTGCCAAGGGGGTCCTGGTGGGCTCTCCAAAGAGAAGGGCTTAAGAAGCCTGGCTGCTCAACAAAAGCCCCTCAGAGGGCTTCTTCGGTTGAAGGCCCTAGAAAGAGGAGGCTCAAGAAACCCTCACGCCCACAAGACCCTCCCCACTAAGCCCAGGAGGGCTTTGTTAGCTCGGGCCTGACCAGACAGGGTGTGATTAGTCCAGGGCCCCAGGGGGAGAGAGGAGAGTGGCCGACGGTGGGTTCCAGCCTCGTGGAGTGACGGTGCAGGTGCGATGGTGTGGTGAGTGGGGCCGGGGGGAGTGGGCGAAACCCCGGAGCCCACCCCAACCTCGGGCTTCCCTCCTTCAGGCTTCAAGAGCTGTATTATGAGATTGTGCACGTGCTGAACCTGATGCTGGAAGACATGCCCCAGAAGCAGGAGTCTCAGTCCTTTGACGAGGCTGGTTGAGAAGTAGCAGGGGGTGGGGTCACTCAAACCCTGAGACCGTCCCAGGCTCTGGTTGGCGCTCATTAAACGCAGACCTTCGGAGTGACCTCTCCCTCGTGCTGTTCTGCGGCATGGTGATGGTGTTTGGGCCAGACGCCCTGAAGCACAGCCACTCCCTAACCACGTGACACAGGCAGGCCTTGGGAGTGGAAAGGGGAGGGTCAGGACTCACCTGGCCAAAGGTCCTGGCCAGTGGTCAGCCTGGCTCTAGCCTCCTCTAG